CATAATGTTGGATGCTACCACATATGCGGCAAGTCTTATTGAGGCGATAACAAGGTCGATCCCCATGATCCTTACCACAGTGCTGATAGGTCCTACCGCGTCTTGTTGCTAAAACCTGAGGGAGAGCCTGAGTCATCGGCCTAGGTCTCTTGTTCTATTGAATAGGTGCAGTAGATGCTGGTATGCAGTGTGGAGCCGATGGCCTGAGGTTTCCTACTACTGGAGGAAAAATGCGAAGGTTCCTCTCCATTAATTGTTCCTTGGCCAGAACAGCCGAGTAAGTACTAAGTTCTAACACATACAACTGTTGTATGATCTCAGGACAGAGGCCCCATTCGAACCTTCTCGCCTTCTTGCCTTCATCCATCATATTCTTGGGGAATACCTGCCCAACTCTAAAAATTTTGAGCATATTCTGATACGGTCATGTCATCTTGGACCAAATGTGCAAACTCCATTTCTTTCAGATGCCAGAGATGCTCTGGAAGGTACTCTACATTAAAGGCCATCAAAAATTGTTCCCAAGTGACTGGAACAGGTAGGGTGGCTTGTTTGAGTTGCCACCAGTGGCCTGCCTCTCCCACCAGCATGTTGGTGGCAAGTATGATTCTTTGTTCAGGAGTCACCCCTAGAGTTGTGAAGGCCTTTTCTGTCTTAGCTAACCAGTACTCGGCCTCTTCAAAGGAAGATACACTTGCAAAAGTAGATAGGTTCAGTCTTTTATACCTCTCAATATAGCCTGGGTCTATCATGGGAAGAACTGAGCCCCGCGGAAGAAGGACTGGACTGTGCTGAGGATGGACTGATGGCCCTGCGGTGGTATTGGATAATATGGTGGGGGCACCGGATTGTGTTGTGGTGGTGTCAGGTGATGCGGTTGGAGCATCGGGTCATACTATGGTGGTGCCAAGTGGTAATGTGGCTGGGGTACTAGATCATACTGTGGTGGTGCCGAGTGGTATTGTGGAGGAGCAAAATCATACCAGGGTGGTTGGGGATCCTCTCGCTGCAGGGGAGGCTCAACCTGTGGTAGCGGGGCAGGGTCAGGTTGCTCCCTCCTTTCCTCTTGGGCTTGTTGAGCAGCGATGAGTCTCTCCAGCATCTCAAATAATCGGTCATCATTCTCTCGAAGCAAACCTTCCCGGGCTGCTCGGTTTAGTGGGGGTTTTACTCTCTTCGTCTATTTGTACCTGCATTTCACAAGAAATGGTTGAGTGATAATTCATTATTTTTGGTGTTTTCCTAAGGATTTTGTGTAAGGAATGGTTCCGAGGAACGCAGCTCTGATACCAACTGTAACGACCTCAAAAATTCTAAAGGAAATAGATTATAAATTTAGTGCAGAAGTAAAATAAATAGTTAGGGTTTACATTCCTTATACAAGAACTGAAAGTACCAAATAGGGATTACGCAAATAACCATTCTAAAAGAATAATTAATAACCAAGGAAATAAATTAAAAGTAAACAACTGAGCATCCTACTCGCAATTCTCTTGTGGATCAGGCTTTGGATCCTGATCCTCTTGATCTAAAATGGTTAATGAAAGAATGAGCTACACTAACCCAGTAAAAATATCACACTACTCACCGACACAGAATGAAGGTTGGTAGAAATCATAAAAATAACTAATGGAGCTCTTAATTACGCAAAATCGTTTATCATAAATAAAATTATTTACCGCCTACTTACTGTAGTGAGATTTTTAAAAATAACCTATAGACATAATAATATAGCACATATTACAATTTCATATGCAATCGATTGGAACAATAATTTTCTTTTTTATCAGCCTACTAGTATCTACGGGGGTCTATAGGGATGTCCCCATAACGCGTGAACCCTTTTCTTTAACATTTTCAATTAACAGGTCGTCCCCGTACCCCGTCCGGTATGAGTGCTAAATTACTAAATCTCAATACTCCGTCTAGTATGATGATGAAACAGGCCGTCTCCATATCTCGGTCGGTATGAGTGTCAAATTACCAAACCTCGATATCCTGTCCAGTATGAGGCAACGTTCATGGTAGGGTTCCTTATGTACTCGGTCCGTCCACCATCTCCTAGAATATCCAGCAAGGCTGCCTCACATCCATTCACTTAATCAAACCATTTCCTGACTTCCTTCAATTTTCAGTTTCTCAATTCAACCATAACCATATGAAGCAAGTAATACATGCATTTAAGCTATAAGATCATTCAGTTAAGTATTATCATGCACTCAAACTGTAAAATAAATCAACATAATCAATAGTAAATAATTTTCAGTTCTGGCTCCATTAGTGACCTGTAATTAATCATAAATATTTTTTAAACTGCCAAAAATACCGTACTATTATTAATAATTAGATTTCAATTCCATAACAAAGAATAAGGTGATGGATTCTTACTCAAATTGATGCCCGAAGTGCTAAACTGGTTGACTGCGCCTACTAGCAGTCCCTAGGTTCCCTAAATTTTTTTTCAGGAATTAAAACACGCTTCAAGTACTTAAAAATATCCCAAAAAACTCAAAATCAGTGTTAGGACTCCTTTTTGGCCAATTCTGAAATTCCAGCACGGCGGTGGTTTAGCTCGGGTCAGCTGTTTTCAGCCGTTTTTGGTCGAATTCGGCCGGTTTTATATCAATTCCTGCAAAAAAATACATTAAGGGCCTCGGTTGGCCCAAAAAAATTTGAAAAAATAGAAACTCACTGGCGGCGGGGTTTTTCAGTGTTGCAGCTCTGCCGACTCACATTTGCAGTTAGGTATTTTGCTTTGGTCAACTGTAGAGAAGGAAACGGTAATTATAATGGTGAAAAACTTACGCAAAACGGGAATCGAGAAGGGCCTCATTGGAGGCAATTTTTACAATTTTCTATGGCGACGACATCGGACTTTGCCAGCAATTTTCGACCAATCCGCCGATCTTTTTACTCCGATTTGGCCATGGGGGTATTTAAAATCGAATTCTGAGCAAAGAGAGAAATTTTTACATCTTTTGGCAGTCGGAAGTGGTTCCGGCGCGGCGATGGCAACGGTTGGCTTCCTTTCCGGCGACTGGGTCTTCTTCTCCAGCCAGGAGAGGGGATCTGGCTGCTAGGGTTAGGGTTTGGTGTGAAGAGGGTTATTTATATCAATCCTCTTTTAATCTGGACCGTCCATCGCATTTAATATGAACCGTCCGATCGCTTTTAAATTTGGAGTAAATCTGGGCTGTCCGATCGCGTTTAAATAGGAAGTGGATCTGGACCATCCGTGCACGCGGGAACGAATCTGAACCGTTTGATCGCGAGCATGCAGATCGCCCGCGTGGCCTCCCGTATGGCACCGCATCAACGTCCCTTGCCACATGGCGCATTCCAGTTCGTCGGGACTGTTGATTGTGCATCCTACGTGGCATAATTTTCTTAACTTGTGTTTTGATCCCCAATTTTTGAAAGTTTTTTCAAAAATACCTCAAGAACCCAAATTTTTACCCTTTTTTTTTTAAATTGTTTTTAATTTCATTATCTATTTAATTTTTTTTATTTTTACATTAATTAATAATTTAAAAAATAAAAATTAAATTTTATACATTAAATAAAAAATTCAAAAATTACATTTACACACTAATTTTAAACATTTTAAAATTAATTAAGGATATTACAACTATTTTCTTGTAAATTATCTTATAAATATGGATATTAATTATTTAATTATTTACACATAATATACTTTGTAGAGAAGCATATTTAAACAGAGATAAAAAAAACCACATTTCTCGGTTGAAAATAAGTTCGGCGTTTATGTCATGCTGTATGTACATTCAATCATACATCTTCATAACTAATAAATTGGTATATAAAATATATTTAATATTTTTATTTGTTATAGGATTATAGTGTACTGAACTAAAATTAATAAATTTCAAGTTCTACGTTATATATATATAGACACATAAATCTACAGTGAGATATGAGTAACACCTCATTTATAATAAAAGAGCAGGATAAAATTAGAAAAGAAAAATATAATTACAAACAATATTTTTTTTCTTTTTTCTGAAATATAGTTTAACAAAATAAAAATAACGCACCGATCCAAACAAAGTACGTTGAAAGATCAAATTTCATAATTTACTTTGTTCCTAAAAGATGATTAGATTGGTAGAAAAATTCATATAATCTTATCAGCAATTTAAATGCTAAAATGTAAATGCTGAAATTCATAATATTCTTTCATTTCACTATGTTTTGATTGTCTAATAGATACTTCTATCCTTCCTTATCAAGATATAAATTTAAATCAAACTGTATATTTTATATGTATTATTATTAGAAAATTAGTTATGTTGTCGTTGATACATAAATATTACTTTATTATTAAAATGTATAAATTTTCACTGAGAAAAAAACATGCTGTTGTACACACACTACAAAGAAGATTATACCTGATGTTATATTTGATGGAAATTACCTTTTCCGCAGGAATACAAACACCTAAAGGCATGCATGTACAGATATTTTTTAACTGCAATTTGTTCCTCGAGGTATGGTTAAAATTGCATGTTTTCTATCACCCATGAAGTGTTGTGACTGTACAGAAAATTATGCATGATACAAGAACAAGCTACTTCCAGAAGCACAAGCAATCAAGGGTGTGGTGGGATGCCATGCGAGATGTAGCAGCTTCGAGCTCAAGTCGCCAAAACAATCATCATCACCTTTGTCTGAAATTTCACACTTTGCATTGATTAGAGGAAAGAGCAGATAGATATTTCAAGCAGACCAGATAAACAAGAAAGCAAAGAGATACAAGAAGTAAATAAATGTACCAGGTGTCTGACCTTGTCCATAAAATCCTCGTGTCAGGTTGCTTAGAGATGACCTTCTAGCTCTTGAAATTGTTCGAGAAAGTGGCTTCCTGTATTCAATTTTTAAATGAAGTCCAGTTAAATAAAAAGAAATAAAATGGGTTTATCCATCCAGAAACTTTGTGCATAATTATTATTATGTTGCTTTTTTTTCAATTCTTGTTCACAATTTTAATGTCAGCCTTAATAAACATAATTAAAATAGAGTTTATTTTGTTTGAGTTATCATTACTATTTTGAGTTCCTTGATGCTGAGAATTTAACTCTTGCCTTTATAGGTAGAAATGAATCCTTACCATCAAGGAACTCAAGTTGGGGTTATGCTAATTTAAAAACGATAAATTATGGTTTCATTATGCATATTAAGACTCATTTAAATGAAATACAGGAATGACTAAGAATTAAATGCAAATTAAACCAAATGCAACTTTCTTTTTTCTAAGGAAAACAAGACATTAAGAGGCACCAAAGAGGTACAAACCCAATTACAAAAGAGAAGAAAAGTAGAATTTACATTCTCCTAATGCAGAGACTGAATCATAAAGATAGAAAATATCAGTTCCATCAGAAATGGTGTGCCCTTTGAGCAAAATACAATGGGTTCTTCTTTAACTTTGTAGCAGCAATATCACTTCTCGCCCATAGCTCATCCTCGAGTGGCCCACACAACCCCAGTTAAGGTTAAGAAGTGACAGAGTTAAATCCCATAATCTTCTAGCCTTGTTACACCAAAGAAGATGACAAGGGAATTCCACGTATTAATGCATAGGAAAAATTTGTTTGGTAGTGATCTACCTCTTTCATCAAATTGCCAACATCAGATTTCTACCCCTAGATGCCACCCAAACAAAGAAAGCTATGCATGGAGAGGCTTTGGTTTTTGATAACTGCTTCCAAGGAAACCCGTCCATTGTGGGCGTATAAAGATATAACTGAGAACTTGTCACTTTTCAGATCTTTCATAATGGAGAATTTTCCTTCAATCAAACTCTAGAAGATTTTTCCAGAAGAGCAAGCAAAGAGATTCTTCCATCTACCTCCTAACCATTAAGGTTTTAACTCCCTAAGACTCCACTCAAAACAATCCTTGGCAATGTAGACATAAGAGAAGATATCCTTAAAGGGCCTCTCATCACACCATCCTGCTAGAATTAACTCTCCTTCCATTACCGATCTTAATTTTGACATTTCTCATAAAATCCGTCCAACCTTTGGTATTGTATCTCTGCAGACTATAACCATAAGCACCCAAGTGATTTTTGGTAATCCAGCCACCATCATCCAGCCCATATTTCGCAGCAACAAACTTGCACCAGATGGTATTCTCTTCCGAGATAAATCTCCATTTCCATTTAGCAAGCAATGCATTATTAAAGTCCCTAATAGCTTTTATGCTCAGACCTCTGCAAATGCAGCCTTAAAGTTCCATATTTCTGTTTTGATAACACCATTTCGTAACACTATGTTTGGATTGAGTTGTGGAGAGAAAGAAAAAGAATGGATGAGATGCACCATCATTTCACTCGTTGGGATAAAAAATAATAGTTAATAAAGGAAATAAATGGATCATAAGAATCTCTTCCATTCCTTAAAAGGTCTGATTTTTATATTCATTCAAATTAAAGTAAAAAAGAGGAAAAAGAAAAGGATTAATAATTTAAAAGAAAATTTTTATTTTATCCTTCTAGTTATCTTGTCATTTATTAATAAACTGTATTATCGACTATTTTCTCATAATTAGGTCTGGATTATCCTTTACTTTATAAACCAAAAAGAAACAAAATATCACAATGATTATTTTGTTTTTTACTTTTTAGCTATCCAAACAAAGAAATTACTTTTCCTTTTCATCCCCTAAGAAAAGATGTTTTCTTTTTCTCTCCTCTCTTCTTCATTCGTTTACTAATTTTCTCCAAGCATGGTGTAAGGAAAAGAAAAATCTCACCCTTAATCTAGGAACTCAATTTTTTCACGTCCAGGCTAGTTCTTTTGGTATAACTCTGATCAACAACATAAAAACTCAAGTTTCTAAGACTCCACTGATGAAGAAGTGTCTTCCTGGGAAGAAACATATAGCAGCAAAACAATCCTCGTAAAAAATGTCTGATGCTTCTGAAACTGATCTCTCGCATATGTAGGGTATAGGCTTCAAAACAACACAATTTTCAAGGGAAGGTGATGTATGACAGAGAACTTGAATAAAAAGTTGGCGCACTTTTATTAAAAACAAAACTTAAAAATGTCGTCGTACCAAAAAACATCAAAAATAAGAAATCTAGAAAACATGATAAATAGGAAAGTAAATTGAATAGAAAGGATCAGGAAAATAGAAAATCTAGAAAACAGGAACAAACCTTCATGTTTCCCTTTATTGTAAAATTTTCTAAAACTAAGAAAAGGAAATTAAATCTCCCTATTCTTTAAAGTTAACTTCCCAAAGCACTTATGTTCCTCCAGTGATTATGACTCATATTTTCTATCAATAAAATGTCTATTTTAGGAGCTTTCTACTCTACATCATCCTCCTCCACTTAGTGAAAACTCAACCTCCAGTTTTAAACTGT